TAGTATATTAAACTTTGGACTTGTGATAAGTCTAGTTCCAATACCACTAATACATGTTTACATTCCATGATATGATACATGAAATGAATTCATATTATATGCATTATATGACAATGATCTATATAAATATGTATGAGAAATTTATATAAGTGATGTGATAAAAAGGTAAGAAATGATATATCTATCTGATGTAAACTGTGTGAATTGTGAAAAACCCATGTTATGTAGATGAGAGCTATAGGTATAATTGACATACCAAGAGTCGAGGGTCTATGCGGTCCTTCGGGACATATATGTATCCTTTGGAACATCTATGAGGTCCTTTGAGACACATACTTGGTCCTTGGAATATGTATATAATTCTTAAGGAATTTATATGTGGTCCTTATGGACAATTTATATGTCACTTGGGTGCATTTCTACGCTGCACTTCGGTGCAATTCTACGTGACACATCGGTGCATTTATATGAACTGTGGTGACAACATTTGTGCACAACCTAAATGCACTCACATACCTTAAGTTCTCCGTATTGTATCATGGGCTAATGAATTATTAATATGAATTCATAATTGTTACCTTGACAAGTTTATATGTGAATTGCATGATTAAATAAGTTGCATTGCATGAATGTTTTATATTTCATTTTTTATAGTATTATTACATATTATGTCTCACTAAGTCGATGACTTAGCGTGTGAGTGTTTCACACGTAGGATCCAAGAAGCTAGCTGAGCAAGGATAAACAACGAGGATATCATCACTTTTGCAGATATCAGATCAGAAGCAACTTAAATAGTAGGTTATTTTGTTATATAAATCAATGTTGACATGTAATAAAAGGTTTAAGTTGTGTATGCTCTGAGTATTTTGTGAACTTTGTATAAACATATGTATAATATCGTATTTTCTTAATATAAGTCCAAATGTTTTATTATTTTGTTTAAGTATATGGTTTTAAAAGTCAATACGACATCTCAAACTCGTATCCGGGTCGGGTACGGGTTGGGGGCGTTACATTTAATGGTATTAGAGCTATGGTTTAGCCGATTCTAGGCATAAACCAAAGTCTAGAGTGTCCTTAAATGAATACATGCTGACAGTTAGTGATAACTTCTGATCTGATATAGAAATGAGTAAGTTATCTTGCTAATAGAATGATATGTTTATTTTATTAGATATCCGGACATAGTAGCTCCTGAAGTGAAGCGGGAGAGGATAGGCCAACTGAAAGTAGTAATTCACCTGTCGTGGTCAGGCAAGGTGAAAGACATGCATCTCAGGGAGTTCCTGTACAAGACCAGGATACATTCTTCAGGACGTTGGACGCTATTATGACGAGTCTCCAACCTCCTGCTCCATCAACTCAAAGAGTGAATATAGCAAAAAAGTTTAGAGGATTAGGAGCTGCCGAATTTAAGGGAGAAGCCGAGGAAGGTCCAGTTGCGGTGGATCTTTGGCTAAATGATTTAAAAATCATGATGGATAGTCTCTACTGCTCTGACGTAGAGAAGTTGGATAGAGATGTGTCTTTGCTAAGGGGACAAGCTAGAATATGGTGGACGAACGTCACTATCAGGTTGATGAGTGATCAAGTGACTTGGTCTATATTTTTGGAAGAGTTTAGGCACAAGTATATTGGAGATCAATTCATCAGGCAAATTAAGCAGGAGTTTATGAATCTGAAACAGATGAATCGCTCTGTATATGAATATGAGTATGAGTTTAATAAGTTGAGTCGGTTTGCTAATGAACTCATTCCTAATGAAAAAACGCTTTTGAATGGTTTGTGGAGGGCTTGCGCCCTAGACTGAAGGAAATGTTGATAGTATTAAACTTATACTCATTCCATGAGGTGATTAATCGTGCAAAAGCTCTTGAGAGAGCTCAGAATGAAAGATTTGGGGATCAAAAAGTTCAGACATCCAAATGAACCAGTGCTTCTTCAAGTTCGGCACCATCAAAAGAGGAAGAGATTCGGGATTCCGACCTTAAGTTAGATCTGAATCAGTTGCATCTTCTGCTAGAGGAGCAACTCATACAAGAGCTAGACAACTGCAGTCAGTGTGATCTGGTGTTGGGAGATCCAATAAGAGCCAAGCAAGACAGTGTCAGCATTGTGGGAAGAATCATTTTGGGACATGTCGGATGGCTTCTAGAGCTTGTTTCCGATGCGGAGATGCCAGACATTTTATCCGGGATTGTCCGTTGATGGTTGGTGAGTCTGCACTATCCGAGAGAATTGTTTCTGCCTCACAACGAGGAAGAGGAAGAGGGAGAAACCAGTCTGAATCCTATACACAACCTGAAGTCCGCTCAACCGCACGATTATATAATTTAAAGACAAGTGAAGATCGTGATTATCCATATATTATAGTAGGTACTTTCCAGTTGTTTGATAAATTGATTTTGGTATTGATTGATACTTCCACTTATTCCTATATTAGCAACAAATTAGTAAAAGAATTGAGAATTCCATTAGAAGCTACGAGTAATGAGGTAATAGTAACTAACCCTTTAGGGCACAGTGCTCTGGTAAATAAGGTTTGTAAGGGGTATTCCATAAGGATTCATGGAATTGAATTCCCCGCTAATCTGATGGAACTACCCTTTGATGAGTTTTAAGTAATTTTGGGGATGGATTGGTTGTTCCGTTATTATGGAAATGTTGATTGTAGATTGAAAAAGGTAACCTTGAGAAGCTCGGAAGGAATAGAAGTGAATGTGATCAGTGAAAGAATTAATCCTTTAGCAAATGTAATATCAACGATGTCAGCAAAGAAGTTGATGCTACAAGGATGTCAAGGTTTTCTTGCAAATGTGATAGATACAAGAGCTAAAGAAAAAGGTTTAGACGAGATTCCAATAGTCCGAGAGTTCCCTGATGTTTACCCTACGGAGTTGCTAGGATTACCTCCAGATAGAGAGGTAGAATTTCAAATTGAAGTAATGCCGGGAACAGCTCCTATTGCAATGGCACCTTATCGTATGACTCCGAAAGAATTACAAGAGTTGAAGAATCAATTGCAAGACTTGCTAGAGAAGGGATTTATTCAACCAAGTGTATCACCTTGGAGAGCTCCAGTGTTATTTGTTAAGAAGAATGATGGTTAAATTCGTCTCTGCATTGATTATCGACAACTCAACAAGGTGACCATTAAGAATAATTATCCCCTCCCAAGGATCGATGACTTGTTTGATCAGTTAAAAGGAGCTTCAGTATTTTTGAAAATTAATTTGCTTTCCGGTTATCATCAATTGAAGATTCAGGAGAAAGACATTTCGAAAACAACTTTTAGAACGAGATATGGTCACTATGAGTTTATCGTGATGCCATTTGGGGTAACAAATGCACCTGCTACTTTCATAGATCTCATGAACAGGATATTTCAACCCTATTTGGACCAGTTTATAGTTGTCTTTATTGATGATATATTGGTGTACTCGAAATCCAATGAAGAGCATAGTGCACATTTGAGGATAGTTTTGCAAATTTTAAGAGATAATAAGCTTTATGCCAAATTGTCCAAATGTGAGTTTTGGCTAAATGAAGTGATTTTTCTGGGGCATATGATCTCTGCAGATGGGATTCGGGTGGATCCTCAAAAGATAAAGGTTATTCTGGATTGGGATGTTCCAAAGACTGTGTCTAAAGTTCGAAGTTTCCTTGGCCTTGCAAGTTATTAACGAAGATTTGTTAAAAAAAATTGATGATAATATTGCCTTTAACAAAACTGATGAGAAAGAACGTACCATTTGTTTAAACTTCGGGGAGTTAAGAAAGTTTTGAAGTGTTAAAGAGAATTTTGACAGAAGCTCCGGTATCGATCCAACCTGAATCTTGCAAGAATTTTGTGGTTTTCAGTGACGCATCTCATAATGGATTGGGATGTGTATTAATGCAAGAAGGGAAAGTGGTAGTGTATGCATCGAGATAGTTGAAACCCCAAAAAAGAATTATCCAACTCATGATTTAGAAATGGTTGCAGTAGTGTTCGCTCTCAAGATTTGGCGTCACTACCTGTACGGAGAACGTTGTTACTTGTATACGGATCATAAGAGCTTGAAGTATCTGATGACTCAAAAGAGCTTAATTTGAGGCAAAGAAGATGCGTTGAGTTCTTAAAGGATTATGACGTAATAATTGATTTTAATCCTGGAAAAGCTAACATGGTAGCAGATGCTTTAAGTAGAAAAACGTTTGCAGTCTTACGAGCTATGGACGCCATGTTATCTTTAACTGGAGATGGTGGTCTATGCGCAGAATTAAAGCTTAAACCAACATAGTTGGATCGAATTGAAGAATTAAAAAGTAAAGATGTATTGTGTTTGAAAAGAGTAAAGCAAGTAAAGAATGAAGAGAATAAAGATTTTGAGGTTAAGTTGGATGGAAATTTGTATTATAAAGGAAGAATTGTGATATTAGACGATGCAGAATTAAAGAAAGATCTTTTGACAGAGGCTCATTGCAGTCCATTGACGATGAACCGGATGGAACCAAGATGTATATGGATTTGAAGGATCGGTATTGGTGGCCAGTGATGAAAAAAAGTATCACTGAATTTGTGTCTAAGTGTTTGGTATATCAACAAGTCAAAGCCGAGCATCAAGTTCCGTCCGGATTACTGCAACCACTTTCCATTCCTCAATAGAAATGGGAAAATGTAATGATGGATTTTGTTTTGGGGTTACCCATGAATCCGAACAAAAAAGATTCAATTTGGGTGATTGTTGACAGATTAACCAAGTCAGCACTTTTCGTCCTTGTCAGAACTGATTTTTCTATGGAAAAGTATATTGAGTTGTATATTAGAGAAATTATTAGATTGCATGGAGTGCCAGTTTCTATAATTTCTGACCGAGACCCTCGATTCACTTTGAGATTCTAGAAATCCATGCATGTAGCGTTGGGAACTCGCCTAAACTTTTGTACGACTTTTCACCCTCAGACTGACGGATAATCAGAGTGGACTATTCAAATATTAGAGTATATATTGAGAGTGTGTATAATAGAGTTCAAATGATCGTGGGAGAAGTATTTACCACTGGCAGAATTCGCTTACAACAAAAGTTATCAGTCCAATATTAAGATGGCACCCTATGAGGCGTTATATGGAAGGAAATATCGGACGCCATTAAACTGGTATGAGCTTAAAGATCGAAGTGTTCTTGGTCCGGATTTGATTCAAGATGTGGAAGAAAAAGTTCAAGAAATTCAGCATAATCTTAAAGTGGCATTCGACCGACAGAAGTCATACTCTGATATTAAAATAAAAGAAATTGAATTTGATGTTGGGGATAAAGTTTTCTTGAATCCTTGGAAGAAAGTATTAAGATTTGGTCGGAAAGGAAAATTGAGTCCTAGGTTCATTGGGCCATATGAGGTTGTTAAGCGGATAGGACCAGTGGCATATCAGTTCTCTTTGCCACCTGAAATTGAGAAAATTCATAACGTCTTCCATGTATCCATGTTACGGAGATATAGGTCCAACCCCTCTCACATCGTTGCACCAGAACAAGTAGAAGTCCAACATGATCTAACCTATGAAGAAGAACGAGTGCAAATATTGGCTTATGAAGTCAAAGAGTTGAGGAATAAAATGGTTTCGTTGGTCAAAGTTCTATGGAAAAATCACAAAGTAGAGGAAGCAATGTGGGAATGTGAAAAGGATATGCGACATCAGTACCCTCATCTGTTCGTGCAATGAAAATTTGAGGATGATTTTTCTTAGGGGGAGATTTGTAACATTCTTAATACCAGGTTAGTGACCAAATTGTGAGATTTTAAAATTCAGTGACCAAACTAAATAAATTAAAAATTTCAAGACATAAATAAAATATTTTGTGTAGGATGATTTAGCAAATGAAGGAGGAATAAAGGGGCAAATGGGTCATTGAACAAGGGAAATAATTAAATATTTGTTGTGGGTATTTTATAACCCCACGTAGAACACATTTTGGGGGAAACAAAGGTTTCCAGACATTTCTTCTTCACTCTTCTTCTCCAACCGTGATGCCCCATAAGCTAAGGTGAGTTAGTTTCCTTTGGTTAATTATTGAGATTAAGGTATGGCTATGATTAAGGAATCATTAGGAAAGTGTATGAAATTAAAAAGAGGTATAGAAACACAAAGGATGATAAGATGTGGATGATTTAAGATATAAAGTTTTTAAGTGAAAATTTGAATAAAAATTTTTAAATGAATTTAGGAGCTGAATTTGACTTGTCATAGGTGTGAACAAGAAATAATAAATGTTAGAACTAAGTTTGGATTGCATGGAAAACTTAGTAAATTTCTTAGTTTCAAGAATTAAAATAAGATGTTTAAGTTTATAAGGTGTTAAGAAGATAAATAATAGTTAAAATGGTTGTAGTTGAGTTTGGTGGTATGAAAGGGGCTTTAAATATGGAAATTTGGTGAAGTGTTGATAATTTTTGGGTGAAAAGAGCTTGTTCTGGGCAAGGGGTACCGGTACCCTATGAACAGGTACTGATACCCTAAGGCCATTTTAGATGAACATCTTCATGAGGTATCGATACCGAAAGGGGTAGTATCGATACCATAGGTATCGATACCATAAGGCAAGTATCGATACCTAGAAATATCAAATCTAATTTGAATACCGATACGTAAGTAGGGTATCAATACCATTTTTAAAGGAGGTATCGGTATTGTACATTGGGGTACCGATACTACCTATTAAAAAATATTAATTATGGTCTTCAATAGTTTAAGTTATTAAGTTTGAGCTATATGTTTAGGCTTCTGATAATTGTCTTGGGAATTATATTTATGTAGATACTAAGCCTAAATAAGTTCCGGAACAATTGGCAAGTAAGATCGATCGAGGGAAAGGCAAAGAGATATAGATGAGTGCATATACATAGTATGATTATAATAGTATATTAAACTTTAGACTTGTGATAAGTTTAGTTCCAATACCACTAATACATGTTTACATTCCATGATATGATACATGACATGAATTCATATTAAATGCATTATATGACAATGATCTATATAAATATGTATGAGAAATTTATATAAGTGATGTGATAAAAAGGTAAGAAATGACATATCTATGTAATGTAAACTATTGAATTGTGAAAAGCCCATGTTATGTAGATAAGAGCTATAGGTATAATTGGCATGCCAAGAGTCGAGGGTCTACGCGGTCCTTCGGGACATATATGTATCATTTGGAACATCTATGAGGTCTTTTGAGACACATACTTGGTCCTTGGAAAATGTATATGATTCTTAAGGAATTTCTATGTGGTCCTTATAGACATTTTATATGGCACTTCGGTGCATTTCTACGCGGCACTTCAGTGCAATTCTTCGTGGCACTTTGATGCATTTATATAAGATGTGGTGACAGAATTTGTGCACAACCTCAATGCACTCACATACCTTAGGTTCTCGGTATTGTATCATGGGCTAATGAATTATTAATATGAATTCATAATTGTTACCTTGACATGTTTATATGTGAATTGCATGATTAAACAAGTTGCATTGCATGAATGTTTTATATTTCATTTTTTCTAGTATTATTACATATTATGCCTCACTAAGTCATCGTGTGTGAGTGTTTCACACGTAGGATCCGAGAAGCTAGCTGAGCAAGGATAGACAGTGAGGATGTCATCACTTTTGCAGATATCATATCATAAGCAACTTAAATAGTAGATTATTTTGTTATGTAAATCAATGTTGGCATGTAGTCAAAGGTTTAAGTTGTGTATGCTCTGAGTATTTTTTGAAATTTGTATAAACCTATGTATAATATCGTATTTTCATAATATAAGTCCAAATGTTTTATTTTTTAAAGTATATGATTTTAAAAGTCAATGTGACATCTCGGACTCGTATCCGGGTCGGGTACAAGTTGGGGGCATTACACATAACATATGATCACTTTCATTTTTATTTAACTAAGATGTAGTCATTGAGGGTTAGTTGATGTTAGATTTTTAACGGTTGTTGATGTGACATAGTCAATATATAAAATTAAAAAGGGTAAATTACACAAATGGTCACTAATAGTTGAATATTTTTTTATTTTTTTGCTGAAAATTTTAAAATAACAAATTGGTTTATACCATTTTGTGATATATGTCCCCCAAGCGGTTTCTTTATCCCCTTACTCTACACTGCCTGTTAAGAGTCGAAAAATGCCTAGAAAAATAAAAGCCATGAAAAAGAAAAAAAGAAAATACACCTTTGTATTGAAAATTTATCGAACTTTTCCACCCTTGGATTCTCATCTTCATTGGTATGGAATACTTCATCAAATTTGTAGCCCACTTTTCCGGTTAGTAGATGAAGGAGAGAGATAATAGAAGAATCATAAGGAACTATTTGATGATTTAGTGACCAATTTGTTAATTTTAAAATTTTATTAGGGAAAACAAAAATTTACTCAAATATTACTGACAACATCTTAATTAAATAAAATGACAGTGACCAAATATAATGTTTTTTGAATGGCTTAATACAAAAATAAGTGACTGAACTTTACCTTGAAAAACGTTTTATTGCCTAAAGAAATTTTCGCTAAAATTAGGTGCCTAACGTTTTCATCGGAGCACTTTTAGGTGCATGTATCGTAACGGCCATTAAGTGACATGTGTCGAGTTATGGTAATTTTGAGAATTTATTTTAAAACTTTAAAAAAAATAAAAAAATTATTAAAAAAAACAAATCATCACGCAAAACAGCATACCCTTATTTTTTTCTTCTTCTCCCTTCTTCTCCCTTCCCCTTTCCTCATTCCATGGTCATTGTTCAGCCAGTCATAACCGTCATTACCACCGTCGTTAGCACCAGCGTCGACTCTCAATCAAACCCCCGTTGGCATTTCGTCGTAAATTGCCACTGTTTGCCGTGGAGAAGCATTCGAAGGTTCATTGGATTTTAACCCACCATTGTTGTTTTTCGTTTATTCTGTCTGATCCCGAAATCCATAAGCCACACTGTCACCACCATTCGTACCACTGTGTAGTTTCGCTCAAAATCCATCCTCTTCGTCGCTCTATCGGTGATTTTCCCGCGTTCCACGGTTGGTATGAAATGAAAGATTTTAGTTTTTTTAGAGTTTTTTTATAATTTTATTAAATTTTGGAGTATTTTGTAAATAAATTAAGTTTTTTTCTTATATATTAAAAAATAATATTTTTATTATTAAAAAATTAAAAAAAATAAAGGGACAATAAGTGTAACTGAGAAAATATTAGACACTAATTTTTAGCGAAAATTCTTTAGACACCAAATATTTTTTTAGTAAAGTTTATATAATTATTTTTACATTAAGTCTTTTTGAATTAAGTAAAAATAAATAAACAAAATATATAAAAAATGATCAATCATGTAACCTTTAAAATTTGAACTCAGATAATATCTCTTGTTGCAACGTCTAACATGTGATGTGATCCTTTCAAAAAAAAAAGTAAAATGAATAAACATGTGATATTTTGATAGGCTTTTATGGCCCATCTGGATCTTCAGCCTTTGGGTCCTTATGTAATAGTAGATAATATCCAATGATTTAATTTAATATTATGAAGAAAATAAAATAGACCTGGGATAATAAGTGCTTGTCTTCTCTTCTTGACTCTATATTTCTTTTCTCAATTCAAAGATTGTTTGGGCATATATTATAAATATAAATTCTAATTATTTAATTATAGTATACCATTGGTTGTCAATCACGTTTCATTAATATTTCGATTTTCAATAGGATGAACATAAAATTTTATACTAATAAAAGTTTACATTGGAATTATAGAAGTGTATAATTATAAAATTTTAAGAAAGATAAAAAATAATTATCAATGAAATAAACTATATATTAAAATTTTCAAAATTATGATCATCCTCTAACATAGATAAATTCATCCCTCATTTTGACATTAGTATAATAAATTTCTCCAAAAATATATGTTCTCTCTTTTGCCTTTATTTTTTTTCTTTGAGTTTGTATAATTTTTTATAAACAATATCAACTTTT